TCTTATTGTTGAGAAGCACCTACAGGTAATCCTCAGTAATCCTCAGTTAACAATGGTAATTTCCATCACTAAGTCATGAAATACAATGTCAGGGGACTTAGTGGCCATCCTGGCATTTCAGGTTGCCACCATTAAGCAAATCCCACATTGTTGTTAGATATGTCACATGATTGCCATTTGTAATATCGTTTTCTTCCCATTGACTTGATATCCATATTAATTTTCCTGAAAATTCAGACTATTTAATCTACCTATGTTTCCAATATTGTTCACTTACTTCAACACCAGGAAATAACTGAATGTATATTATCTACTGATATCATCTTCCATAGCCTACATTCATACAAAACTGCTGCCCTACATTATCAAGGATTTTAGAAAGCATTAAACTATTGGACTATAAAATATTGTGTAGAAGCACCATGACACATCATATGTAATACCTTTCACTCCCGAACTTTTGAAGATAGTTCTTCATATTGCACCATGACATAATAATGAATAATTGTAAGTCAGGAGATTTAAATATATGAGGAACATACCTTTTCTCTTCTACTCAGCAAATAGTAAGATTCGTGCTAAGCTTAAGGGAAGATTTAAATCTAAAGAACAACAGATGGGTTACTCAATGTGTATTTTAATAAGGCATCTATCTGCTTAAACGCCAGTCTATTTTTATTATCCTTTAAACTATTCTTTTTTTTGAGGTTTGAACAAGACTTTCTGACAATACCAAGAGAAGCCTGTTTTCCTGATTATTTAGGAATAAGCTCCATCTGCATATGTTGAAGATGATGAGAATTTAATTGTCTCCAAACTGAATATGTTCTAACTTGGCCAAACATAGAAGAAAAGAGAAAAGCTATTTTGTATTTTTTTTAAAAAAAAAAACAGAATTATGTAAAATTGGCCCAACATGAAACTAGGGGTATAACTTCACTTTCAAAAGATGACAATGTATTAGAAACACAACAGAAGCCAGGATACCAGAGCATGCAACTTTTTTTAAAATGTAAACTTGTGTGTGACTCACTTAATATCTGCTTTCTTTAGCAAAGGAAGTTGTAGTACCAATTTTGGTTATAAGTCTGAAGGTCGAAGTTAAAGGTTCCCCTCCCACATATGTGCTAGTCGTTCCTGACTCTGGGGGGCGGTGCGCATCTCCATTTCAATGCCGAAGAGCCAGCGCTGTCCGAAGACATCTCTGTGGTTATGTGGCCAGTATGACTAAACACCGAAGGTGTACAGAACACTGAACTACTTATATTCCACTCATTGGGGCTACAATTTCACTTATGTATGTCCCAAAGCTCCTTTCTGGAATTGAAATCAAACTGCTATGTATTTATTTATTTGCTTAGTTACTGAATTTTGTCTGCCACCCGTTAAAGACTTTGGAAGCTCGCTATTACATACTCCAGAATCAACGATGGATTTAAAAAAAGCTCATCACAAAGGCAGTTAAAGCCCAGAACTAAAAAGCAGGCATAGTCCAAGCATTTATTATTGCTAATTATCACCACCTCCACCACCATCACATGTGATCAAGCAAAAATTATCTCATGGAAGACCTACAGATACTAGTAAGCAAATATAAAACAGGTGCTTAGTTCCTCCCTCAAAATTAATGGGACCTTCAATGTATTAATTGCAGATGAACTACCACAACCACATGCTTAAAGACAACACCAACACAAAACTATGTCATCTTATCTACTATCAATATCAAAATAAAAAGCAGTATCATTAGTTCTTCATAATGTTGAACTGGTTAAATGATTTTATTTTATTTTATTAATTTGTCCATGTTTCTGAGTGCTATATTGAACAGAACTGCATGACAGATTGCAAGTTTGATAATTTTAAATAAGTTTACAAGGTTCTAGAACTTTCTTTTAAAATACAGGTTATTTAACAAATTGGGATTAAGTTATTTTAGGTCACAGTAACTGTGCAGTAAACTAATGAGGTGTATGCCTATGAGATATGTCTGATTAGCTTAAAGCAACTAGCTCTGGACAGCTTGGGCTGTTGAACTTGAAGGAACTGAGATAACACTGCAACACATTGGAGGGTTGTGATGGAGAAAAAAATGCATAATATTATGTCATGCATAGTCCAAGAAAACAGAATGGTTTCAAAAGCCCAGCAAATAAAAATCCTCACTTAATCACCTCCTTTATAATATATATATTTGGCAGCTTATATGACATTAGAAGAACTAAAGAATACTCAGTGAATAGACACTTTGCATTTTAAATAAAGAGTCTAATTCTGCTTTACACTTGCAAAACATGACCTAATCAAAAACTCTTTCTACTCTTGGGATTAGAAGCAACATGTGAGAAGCCTAGATCACAAAATAATTAATCTCAAACTTGGACAACCAATATATATTGATCTCATCACAGAGAAATGAGAGTTATTTGAGAAGCAAATACAAGTATCAAAAAAACAACAACAGGAAAATATCATCAGTTTCAAAAACTTTTGCTTAAGAAAGCTAATTAAATGCAGGATTGAAAATTGTGGCTAGTTATTATCATGCTCAGTAACTGTTTCCAATAAATGAAAACATTGTTTTCTGCTTTGCTTTCTGTCTTTGTATGCTAACTGTAAGGGACAGGATGACAATTTATTATGGATATGTCCTGCTATTTTTCTCTGTATCGATTTTATAGGTTTTTCATATGGTCAGACAACTAATCAATAAAATGTATTGTTGTTGTTGTTGTTGTTGCATGCATCCTGTAAGAGGAACAAAATACAGCATTGATTTAGAAGGATACTGCAGCTAACTCAATGTTCAATCCAGGGGTTTGATCCTGAGTGGCTCAAGATTGACTCATCCTTCCATCCTTCCGAGGTCAGTAAAATTAGGACCCAGATTGTTGGGGGCAATATGCTGACTCTGTAAACTACTTAGAGAGGGCTGTGAAATACCGTGAAGCGGTATATAAGTCTAAGTGCTATTGCAACTTTGTTGTTACATAATTCACTGGTAGTTCTTGTTGCAAAGCTTCTTGTTTCCTAGAGTTGTGGGGGAATAAAATACTGGACTGTGTTTCATTCAAGGGAAAGGATAGAAAAGGAATAAATTATAACTTTCATGAACTTGGCATCTGAGGATTCCTTCTCCTTTCCAATTTATTATTCTTTTTGTGTTGTGTCTTTCCATGGTGCAACTATAAAGCTAGGAAGCAACTCTGGGAGTCTTTATCTGACAAGTATATAAAATAAGTTCTAATAAATAAATTTCAAAAATCAATACATACACAGATGTCCTAAATAGTAAAAGGGCTCATTTTCTTCTTAGCCAGATTTATTGGGCAGTGAAAAGTCTGACATACATTACAAATAAAAATTGAAAACATTTAGTAATGGGAGATGAAGACATAAAACATAATACAAAAAGTCCATCAGTTGAAACATATGGGCTCCTTAAGTTAAGAAATCATGCTTTGGACATGCATAGGTAGGCTGATTATTTAAAGTAATAGTTAAAAATGGTAACTCTTGAAGCTAAATTGAACTCATCAGAGGCAAAAGCCAAAATTCTGGGATAAAATGAGTCCATTCCTTGGGTCTCAAATCTTCCAAGCAATGTACATGAAAAACATAGAGAATTATCCACAGCAGCAGCCAATAGAATTTTGCTGCTTGAGAAGAATGACTAAATATTTTCTTTGTTATATTCCATGTAGAGCAGCTGATTACACTTAATAGATGAATTTTCTTTCAACACTGGCCCAGAGACAGCCACCACCATAGGGGCAATGCATTAATTTAGGCAGAACCAACCAAACCAAGCATGGAAGATATAACTTTGTCCTCCAAATGTTTTGCTACTATTCCCATTTTGACCCCAATATCTGCTGCCTGAAAACCATTATCTAATTCTGCCTAGTAGGAGAAGTTATCTTCCCTATTCAATAATAGGATTATCTTAACCCACAGTTTATTAAGACTGAATTGTTTTGAGCTAACAATATTAAGAGAATATTTAGTATACTGGGAGAAATTGTTTGAATACAAAACCCAGATAGAGATTTTCCTAGAGATACGGATATTTCAAATCTATTCTAATCTGGCTTTAGACCTAATGATATTTTCCAAACAGAATTGTTAGATGGGATCTAGCTGGTTAGGAGGACCTCCATCACATTTCCTTTTTGCTTTCTGGCCACTTTTGCTTGACGTCTTTAAGTTTTTATTGTTAGTAAATGAGCCAACCTATCTACAAAGTTTATCTTTAGAGATCTATCTGTGTAGCCCAACCCCAACAGAAATATACTTAGCAGGGTCATGGGAGACACTTTTTTGGACCGATGGACCTAGATCTAGAGTTTCCCTCCTGTCTCCTCTTCACACCTTTTGCAGGATAGCAAAATCTTTCTATTTCTAGAAAGGCATTTCATTTAATTAAAACTGACCAGTGGAAACACTGTGCCCTTGATAAAAGATTAACTTCAAAACGCATTGGGTCAACAATAAAACATGTTTTACTGGCATATGGGAATCCTCCCTTTTGGTTCTCTCGATATATTGCCTGACCTTACACAGCTTGTTATGTTTCAGATAAAAGTGATGTCTTTGACGCCAAGGTAGATGTTGGAAGACTAAAAGAAATTCTGCTGTTTGGACAAAAAACAAGTCTGTTACTAAGTCCATGGCTGGCTCAGGAATTCTGGGAGTTGAAGTCCACAAGTCATAAAAGGGCCATGGTTCACCACCCCTGCCCTAAGAGCACAACCATCAAAATCACCTCTGCTCAAAGCTTCCTGTATTTTATTCTGCATTTTATTCACAACCTTGCTGTGAAATGTTCTTCAATCAAGTACCTTAAGACTGAAACTGAAGACATTCTCGGAACTACTGGGCCTGTCAATCTTTTAATCAGGATGTTGTCTCTGGGTAACCTCAGAAATTACTGAATTGTGTTATGACTCAATCTGAAACTCCACATTTAGCATTAGAAAGGTGTTCATAGCTCTCTTTACCTGTAATCAGCACTGACTGGTACATTCTGCATGAAGTAGAGGGCTGCAGTCCTTGCCCTCCAGTGCCATTTCTTTGCCGGAAGAGTAAAAAGGATGCAGTCTCCTATTTCTTCCTGGAGAAGGTCCATGAGCTGCTTATGTGAACCTCCATAAAAAGCTTCAATTAGCAGCACGGTCATTTTCTTGTGCGTTTTCCAAATTGTTGGAAAATCTTAAAAATAAAATACATAAATTCTAATCAATATTAATAAAAAAGCTTGGATGATAATTAGTTCATTTTTAAAGGTGTCATACAGGATCATGATAAAAGCAGAAGTACATGACAAGAATTCAGGCAGGGAGCTCAGTTTAAAGGGATTCAATCTTTTTGTTTCATTAATAAGTTTAATTTTAAAAAGACTAATTAAAACTGCAAGCAAGGCAAAAGGAGAATATCTATTAATCAAAGTCAGATCTCATTAAAATTTAGGATACGGTTAATAATTTGGTCATATATGCAATGTGCTTGAAATTGCCTAGGCTTTGACTTTGTCTCAGTGTTTCTCATTTATATACACATACAGTCAATTCTCAACTAATGACCATTCGTTTAGTGACGAGTACAACTTATGTTGGCACTGAAAAAAACTGACTTATGACTGGTCCCCCCATTTACAATTATCGCAGTCGCCCTGGGGTCATGTGATCAAAATCCAGCCACTTGGTAACCATGTATTTACAACAGCTGCAGCATCCTTGGAGTCATGTGATTGACACTTGCAACCTTCCCAGCTGCCTTCCAATAAGTAAAGTCAATAAGCAAAGCCAGATTCCCCTAATGACCACATGATTCACTTAATGACAGTGGTGATTCATTTAACAACCATGGCAAAAAAAGTCTCACTTACTTGCCACTTCATTTAACAACAAAAGTTCCAGGCCCAGTTGTGGTCATAAGTTCAAGGGGTCTCCGTGCATATGTGTGTGTGTGAGAGAGAGAGACAGAGACAGAGAGAGAGAACATGCGCGTGCGCAGGTACTGAGAAAAAGAGTGGTATCCATAAACAAATTGACTTCATATTTATGAGGTCCGTAAAGGGGGCACACATAAGTGCACTAACGTGCCTATCGTCCCTATCATTTTATTTTTATATTATTCGTGTTTTTGTTTGATAAATTATAAATAAATAAAATAAATACAGAAAACACAATTTATTTGATCTTTATAGATTTTGCTCTCTAGAAGACATCACATAAATGTAATGTTTAAAGTACAATTCAATCAAAATAAGTTTTCATATTGAGTTCAATAAAAGAAACTGATTTAAAGGAACTATGACAGAACAACATAAGGGTCTGTCATATTAATTTATCCGTAGAACATCTGCCTCTAAAGTTAGAGACAACCAAAAGTATTTTTCTCCAAGCAGATAATTACTATACTATTATATATGGCTGGAAGTAAACAATATTATACATTAAGGAAGCTGTTCACACTTCTAGTCAAAGAAAACTAGAAAACTAAGTTAGAAACAACCATTAGGCAACTATATATAGCATTCCAAAGTAACAAGAGGAGGAGGGAAGAGGACAACATAAGGCCACTACTTTACAGATTATATCAATATGCTCTACATGGGACTGCTCTTCGCTCAAAGAACTTCAAGTGGTCCAGAATGTAGTCACATGAGCCATGATATGTCTATATGACACTTCTGCCATGTAATTTAGTAATTATCTGCAGGCATCAAGATGCAATTCAAATTGTTAGTTGTCATATGTGAAGCTCTTAATGACATAGGGCTTCGTTACCTGAGAGATCAACTATAGTGTCCACACATCCAATACAATCTGATAGAGCTGTCGATGTCATCTGATGAGACCCAGCAAATGTGCCTTCTTGGTATTGAATCTGCCCTCTGAAAAGCAAGCTCCCAGAGATTCAAACAGCCCACTCCTGCTCTCTTTTAGATATGGTCCCTTCCCTTAAGCTTGATTTAGAGTTACCCACAATTGTATGCTGGCATCGTCGCATGTCTATGCTTTGAAGGGGCTGATGGGTAAGTGTAGGTTGCAGATAGCCAACACACAGACCTCCCAAAACCCTACTGCAGGTTGTGTGGTGGTGTGCATCCTACAGACTGATTTGTTGATCCAACTTTCTGTTCTGTGCTTTGTTGTTTGAGCGCCCCCTAGCCAGAATCTTACATTTGCACAAATATAAATGCAACATCTATGCAACTATTCACAAACGACAGATGGGTACGTTCCCTGATGTGCGGCAATGAAGAAGTGTAATCCAGGCTTAAGCACTGAGCTAAGGTACAGTGTGGGACCATGTGGGGATGGTTCTGCTGTTACCGTATCAGCTGTCTCTCTGTTTGGATATCTTTTGAGCTTTCCTTTTTTATGATTTCGATTATTGAAATGATTTTTTTATATCATGCTCAAAATTGCTCTGAGTGGGCAACTTAGAAATGTGATTGACTAACAGATAAATGATAGTTAGATAAATGGAAGGACAGACAGACACACGCACGCACGCACACACACACTCACTCTTAGGTGATGAACTGCATCAGCTCTACCTACTTAAGAGGCATTTTCCTAAAGTGATATTGTTACTTTTAAAGAACGAATAAACGAATCGTAATCTTGTCAATGTGCACAGACCAATCAATCTCAGGATAAAAGACGGAAAGCAAAAAAAAGAAAGAAAGAAACAATATACACTGCTATGAGTCCTTGAGGAAAAGACAGACAGAAGCATACCCACTACATAAATGTAAATCCGCATTGTGCATGATTAATGAAATAAAAAGAGTTTGGTATAAAGTAATCAATCCTGATCAAAACTACAACCAACTGCAACAGGGGCTTCACATTCACGAACTACTGTATTCATTGGACAGGGTATAAATCTATAAAGAAATGCCAAAGCTTAAGTAGGCCCTCCCAATTTTGAAGAAGATCATTCCAGAGGCTTCACACTCTGTGACCAACTATCTTTAGAATGCCGCCTCAGCTACAAATTACACTTTGTTACACAGCTATGTTTTAAAAGGCAAACTCAAGATCAGCCAGGGCACTTAAGACCAGATGCCTGTTCTTGCAATCTGAGGCATATCTAATCACAAAAATGGAAAGAAGTCCATTTCCCCATCCCATTGCCAATCCATATCAATTCTCAGGAGTAATATAAACCCACATAGATTAGTCTTGTATTTTTCCTTGATTATTATATTTTTGAAAACCCCACAGTTAAATGATATATATTTTATTAGCAGTAAAGACCAGCAGGGTTAAAAAAAAAAAAACGTAAAAAATTATGTTTGGCTTTTACATTTTGCTATCATCACACACCATCATAAATTATTCTTGCTTTCTTATTTTATTTCCTTTGACCTAGCCAAGTTAAGGTAAATACACACCATGTAGTCCTTTGAGATCTGGAAAAGCCACTGATGATAAATGGCTTGAGAACATTTACCCTATCAGATGGAATGCAAAGCTCAATTGGGTATAAATCATTTCAGGTATTTTAGCCATTTCAAAAAACAAAACAAAAACCCAAGTACTAGAACAACGTTACCACTTTCTCATTACAAGACTTCATCTCTCAAGGGTGCCTCTTTGGACCCAATAATTCTCCATGATGTACTAATGGTTTGATTCCATTCTCAGGAGTGCATCACCATGCAGCTTGAAAAATTCACGGGGCCATTACATCATAGTTGTTTTCCCACCTCAGGATACATGTTACTCTGATGCTCAAATAGATTTGAGCAACTCAGCAAACAACAAAAACATAACAATATTTTGGTCCACGGAAGCAGTTTGCTTTTAATTCCATGAAAAGCTCCTACTTTTCATTAGAAGATCCTCAGCCGGCATTACCACCTCTCCTACCTTATGTTAATGAGAAAATGAGAAATATTGGTGAACACACATTAATGCCCAATATTTCAGTCAAAATCAAGTCTCACTCTAGACGTAAAGTGACCAGATTTTAAGATGGGTAAAGCGGGACACCATTGACGGGGCGGGGGGGGGGCTTGGAGCACCTGAGCTGTAAAAAAAAAGAAGAGAGGGCTGTAAAACCATGAAGCGTTACCCCTGCCGTTGCCTCCTCCGCCGTGCTTTTGAGAAGCATGGAGCCTTTTTTTTTCCTGCTCCCGCCCCCTCCGCCAGCTTTCTACTGGCTCCTGTGGCCTCGTGGCTCCTCAAAAGCACGGCGGAGGAGGCGGCAGCGGCGGCAGGGGTAACGCTTCATGGTGCTTTTACAGCCCTCTCTGAACAGTTTACAGGATGGTAAGGGGAGGGAGGCGAAGGAAGGAAGAAAGGAAGGAAAGAAGGGAGGGAAGGAAGGAGGGTAGGGAGGCGAAAGGGAGGAAGGGAAGAGAAGGGAGGGAGGGAGGGAGGAAGAACCCGGCTTTCCCGAGAACAGTCTGCTCTGGGCCAGGGAGGGCGAACCAAGAAGTTTAGACGGGACTTCGCTGGTAGTTGCAAAGCAGCCTTCCCCCGATTGCCTTCCCCCAACCCTTTCAAAATCCACCCCCATTGCCAACCTCTCCCAACCGGATCTCCGCCTGCCTCCCCTTGGCTCACCCGGACCAGGTTGCTGACGGCAGCTTGCACGGCATGGCTGCAGGGAGAGCGGCGCCCGAGAGAAGCGGGGGAAAAAAACTTCCGATGGCTGAGCTGCTTGGCCCGGGACCGAGCATCCTCCTCGCTGCGTTGCCACTGCTGGAAAGCCCCCCCGCCTGAGGCCACCGGACGGTTCTCGCAAAAACATCGTGCATCGGTGTGCGCACACGCAGGAGGTGAGGGAGCCTCGCCCCTCCTCAGGTGCTGCGAGCAAGCCGAGCGGAGGGAGGGAAACCACTGCCCTCTAAAGGCCACATTGGGAATGACACTTCAGAGAAATAAAAGCTTTTTTTTTAACTGCGTCCTTTTTAAAATTGATGATTCGGCGTCTTTTCTTTCTTTTGGAAAATCGGGACTTTTTGAACATGCCGCAGGACATGGGACAAATTATTAAAAATCGTGACTGTCCCGCCAAAAGGGGGACATCTGGTCACCTTTCTCTAGAGATAAAACAAAACATAACTAAAATTCCCAGATGAAAAACCCTTCCCCTTCCCCCAATAACCTCACCACAAAATAGATTATTCTGACTTTAAATAACTGATATGTATAATTACTTCACTGGTAGCATCCAGAATTCCTTCATTTAAATTTCCTGGAACAAATTTGATCATTTAATTTAAAAAAAACCTTGAAGTTTTATAAAAGATTAAATTCAATCTACATGGTTTGAAATTTCTATATTTGCTGAAATATGTAAATGGAAACAAATACTAATTGG